GGACGACTGACTCCAGAAAGAGTGACTGTAAGTTCGGCAGAGCTGGTAGTCAGAACGTGCTGATCATGGACCCCAGTTCTACAGGGACGATGCAGAGGATACAGAGTGAAAAGAGCATCCTGGATGAACCAGACTCTCCTCTAGAGGTTAGAAAGGTGTCACACTGCATGTGCCATTTCATAGCTTTACGTTCGAAACTTTTGAACTCACCATTTACAATCACTGCTATATTTACATTTTGTTAATTTTGAAGCCGCTTTAAAGTCATTTATGACTGGGGAACATTAGAACAGCTTCAGTGGGCTACTGTATAGCTTGAAGAACGTAATTAGAGCTCAGTATGTTTGATAAAATGAAGTGAGGGGAATCAGGTAAAGTTCAATGAAATGATGTCAGTTATTTTCAGCACCTTGGAGAGGGATACGAGACAATGTGTCAGAGACATCAATTATCATCAATCTGTTTAACTGTCCATCTTTCTGTCTGTGTGTCATGTCTGTCTTGTCTGTCTACCTTACTGTCTTTTCTCTCTGCCTGTGCTCTTAATTCAAGAGGACAGACATTAAATTGTGGTTGTAATGATCCTGCAATATCTCTTTACGTCCCTACGTGCCGCTGTTGATCAGTGTGGGAAAATTCTCTCCCTCTTTATAGCGCATTCCTGTCTCCTCTGCTCTGTTTCGATTTCTAGTGGATGTATAAAGACGACGCACGACTACAGGCTCACAGCTAAACATTTCTATCGCGGTGGTGTTGTTTAAATCAATTTGAATTTTGAATTGTCAAAACCATCATGGGGGAAGGTTTTTCATTTACACGGAAGCTGTTGTTTTTCTGCGTTTGTGTTGCAAAAGTAACCGTCGGGCACGTCCGCTATTCTATACCAGAGGAAATGGCGACGGCCTCCATTGTTGGGAATATCGTCCAGGACTTGGGCTTGGATGTTAAACGGCTGAAATCTGGGCGGGCGAGGATATTTACGGAGGACGGCAGTGAGTACATCGGTCTTAATTTGGACAAAGGGACTCTTATTGTTAACAAGAGGATAGATAGAGAGGAGCGGTGCGGGCTAGTGTCTCCTTGCTCTCTGCATTTTCAAGTCATACTGGATAATCCTATGGAGCTGCACCGCGTCGATGTGGAGATTCTTGACATTAATGATAACGCTCCGGTTTTTCCCAAGCGGGAAATGAACTTTGAAATTAGTGAATTAGCTGTAAAGGGAGCCCGTTTTTCTCTTGACAGCGCCAGAGACCAGGACGTTGGGTTGAATTCTCTCCAAACGTATAAACTGAGTCCTACAGATCATTTCAAATTAAACATGCTGTCTCGACCTGACGGAACTAAATATGCTGAAATGGTTCTCCAGACCGTGTTAGATAGAGAAAATCAAGAAGAGCACAAACTAACACTAACAGCATATGATGGCGGTGATCCACCTAAATCAGGGTCTGTCAAAATTAACGTCATTGTCATGGATGCAAATGACAATGCACCTGTGTTCAGCCAGTCTCTTTACAGAGTGACGGTTCCTGAAAATGCATCAAGGGGTACTGTCATTTTAAAAGTAAGTGCCACGGATGCTGATAAGGGAACAAACGGAGAGCTGGTATATTCGTTCTCTCAAAATAGTGACATCACGTCATCTAAATTTAATATGGATTCTCATACTGGGGAAATAACTGTAGGAGGAGAGTTAAATTACGAGAAAGTCAAACATTTTGAAATTGATGTTGGAGCTACAGATAAAGGGGGGTTGACAGACACAAGTAAGGTTCTTATTGAAGTGACTGACGTCAATGACAATGCCCCTGTCATCAGCATAATTTCTCTTTCCAATTCCATCCCAGAGGATTCGGCTCCAGATACTGTTATAGCTATGCTCAATATAAAAGATCTAGACTCAGGTAAAAATGGTCAAGTTAAGTGTTTCATTAGCTCAGATTTACCTTTTAAAATCAAGTCAACGACGTCAAATTTTTATAGTTTAGTGTCTGATGATGATTTGGACCGTGAAACTGTGCCTGCATATAATATAACAATAACTGCAATGGATGAGGGTTCACCGCCTCATTCAACAAACAAGACCATTCATTTAAGGATATCAGATATAAACGACCACGCCCCAATATTCCCACAACCAGTTCTGAACGCTTTCATCCCTGAAAATAATTCACCTGGCATGTCACTCCTCTCTGTCAAAGCCAGTGACCAGGACTCTGGGAACAATGCGCGCATTTCCTATTTCCTTGAGGATAGCCAACTGAATGGGATGTCAGCCTCGGCTTATTTTTCAGTGAATGCAGAGAGTGGAGAGATACTTGCTGTGCGTTCCTTCGACTATGAGCAAACGAAAGATTTCCGTATCCAAGTCAAAGCTCAGGATGGAGGCTCTCCTCCACTCAGTAGTAACGTGACTGTGAAAATACTGATCCAGGACCAGAACGACAACCCCCCTCAGGTTC